ATAATAATATCAAAAATGAATGATTTAAACAAAACTCATTTTATATATATTTGATTTATAATTCTATTTTATATGATTTTACATCATTTAATTATTGAATTGACAAAGCTTAACTTGAGTAAGAGTTCCTATGTTGTAAACTTATAATAGGCCATATTGGTTACAAGTTCTATACTTATATCCTATATCAGTAGGGTTTTATTTAGAGAAACAGTTTTTTCAAAATTATATATTTAGATTTTTCAACTCTTTACTTTTGTGCTGAGTCATAATTCCTGAAATATATATAATATTGCCCCAGGTATTTAAAGTATATCGCCCTATTCATACTTCTCAAGTGCAAAGATACTAGTCATAAATTAAAAATATTTAAACAATATTAAATTTTTCAATTCAAGGTTATGAGATTGTCCTGCATCATTTATTTTTAGTTAATTTCTTTTAGTGAGAGGAACTAATTTTGTTTACAGCAGATATGAATTCTAATTCTGGCTTAAATTGTGACAGGGCCTTAGACTTCACTACCCTGGAGAACAAAGGTGTGGGATAATAGATTGCTCCAGAAAAAATGTAATCAAGACCTAATGAAGAACATAGATGGGGAGAAGTTATTAAGACTTCTCTATCAAAAATAGATTCTAGGGATCATAAATTACTAGTGATTCAAACTTTATTTTCTGAGAAAGGAGTAGATCTGAACCTATCAGAATTTAGTCTTGGAGAAATGGAAGGAATACCTATGTATATTCAACACTCATTAAACATGAAGTAATTAACAGGATTGATCTAAGAAGTAAGATTTATAGCCTAGAAAACAGGATCTTTTTTGGGAATAATACGCAAGTTAAGGAACGTTGAAAATGTTTAAATCCAAAAATCTTAAATAAAAAATTTTTTAATTTATTAATTAAAAATTATGGAAGAGATTTCAGATATGATGAAAAAGTAGGAATGCATTTGAAATATATTCTAACAGAAAGCAAGAAGCCTACTATTGCTTTTAAAGTCATCAAGGAGGAGAAGATGAAGAAAAAGAAGTAGGTATTGCTTGAAACATAGATGGAATAAGAAGGAATAATAATCATGTTATAAATAAGGATTTGAAGTCGAAACTTAAACTCTAATAGATAGAAATTGACTGGAGTTGGAGAAGATGAGAATTATTATTTAATATTAGTTCATAATATTTAATGAATCTTAATATTTCAATTATGGGGATAATTAAAAATAAAGTATTTTCGAACCTTTTTATTATTTCTTAACAAAAATTTAAATACATATAAGTAACCCTTTAATTTATGTTATCAAACCTTCCCAGGTAGATTATAATCAGCAATCATTTTAATTCGAAGAATATTTGAACTACTTGATTAACAAATGACTTTGACTTTTTTTATTAACATAAGTATGTATAATTGACATTAATATCTTAACTAAAATTTGATATCCTAAAACAAGGACAAGATACATGAAAATGAAATAGACTACTTTTATTTAACTCTTATAATTAGTTTTACATTTTCTAATTCTACTCATCTATAAAAATATAAAAATACAGGATTTTCATATAAAATATTCATTTACCATTTTATCATACTGATTTCAGAATTTGCTTATTTGTTAAATTACTTAAGATTAAGCAAATAAATCAGAATTAATAAATGCTCCATATTAAAATCTATCTAATCTCTTGAGTGATTATGCTATTACTATGGATAATAAGAGTAAATAAATGAAGAAATATTGTAATATATAAAAATTGGAGATAGATTTTGTCAAAGTAACAGATATAAATAAAAATTTGGAAGTTGAGAGTAATTTTATATAAATAAAAAATAGAAACAAATCTCTTGAATCAAATGTCGATGTAGTTAGATTAAAAATATAAAGAACATTAGGAAGCTATGATAAAATTATAAGACGAAAGTATTTGAAAATTCATTATATTAGATTAGCAACAAATCAATGAAATAAGTGCATAATTATAATAAAAAGAAGAAGAAAATTTATAGTTCAAAAAATTATTAGAATATAAAACAGAAGAAATAATAAATCTTAAAAAGTAGAATGAGGAGGATAAATTAAAAATCACAAATTTAGAAAATAAAAGTATATATTTATTTAGAGTTGCTTAGAGAACACAGAAATCATAGAAATAAATAAAAGACTGAATCAAAAGGATTCAGAATTATAAATTATTTAAAGACAACTTGATTATTTTAATCAAGTATATTCTAAATAGTACTAATCTTAGATTTAATAATTTTCAAAAACATTAATATTTTCAAATACTTACAAGCATAGTAATTGTTAAGTAAGTGAAGGCGGAAAAGTTGTTGAATCTAATGGGAGTTATTTGAGTTGTCTTTGTGATTAAGCAATTCCAAAGACAGGAAAAATACAATTTGCATTCTAAATAATTAATATTGGTTGTTGTTTTGTAGGAATTGGATATAGAGATTTTCTACAAAAAAATAATTATTAAAGTTATGGAAATGGTGGGTATTAAATAATTTGAATCATATTAGATAGTATTCAATAAGTAGTGATCGATATACTTGTTCTCATCATAACAAATAAATAGATGGAAGACCATCATAATCAACATTCAGCTTCACTATTAATGATATTATAATAGTGGAAGTGAGTATTGAAATGAAATACATTAAATGGAGGAAATATAGCAATTCATAAGAAATGGCTGTAAGCATCAAATCTATACTTAGTAGTTGGAATTAGACACATCTATATCATAAGAATTATATCCTTGTGTGTGTCTTTATAATTCCAAAGTAAAAATATTGGATAATATTCTCATCTGATTATGGAGAATTGATATTAAATTTAAAATTATAAAAAATAATGTTTAAACAAAGATTTATTTATTTTCTTTTGTTCATTAAGTATTAAATAATAACTTTCTCTGATAGAAATAAAAATGCGATATTTCCCATACTGATCACAAAATAATATAGTGATGTCTTATAATACCATAATAAAAAGAATTGTCTGAAATTCATAACTATTCTAATGTTAATCGAAAAAGTATAAAGCTAACTAAGCAGTGGCTTGCAATCAGATTATAAAAACCTAATTTTATACTATCAAGTGTTAAAGATTATTTTTAATTAGTAGTGGTAGAACCAAAAAAATAGCGACAACCAAAACATAGGCTAGCATAGGTTGCTTTTGTTTTGGTTGTCGCAATAAAAGATTAGCCTGAGAGTATTAGGTTTTGATAATTTTGATTTTTTATTATTTTAAATGATCAAAGTAAAATCATCCATTTTATAAACTGAGTTAATCAGTCAAAATCTTGAGAATTATATTCAATTAGAATTTCAACAATATGAAGAGAACCCTATATATAAACAATCATAAATAATATATCTATCAATTTTTTTTCTCTTACATCTTCTAATTTCTCTCTTCTCAAAAAGATTTCCAGCTTATTCATTATATGCCTTTTAAGATCTTCTTCAAAAAATTAATTTTGCTTTAACATTTATTAATTACAAGAATCATTTTTGTTAATGGGATAACACATAGCATTTATTGATTAATAATAATAGAATATGAAAGGAAGATAATATGATTTTAAGAAACAATGTCGATTGAAAGCACTCTATATTCTGTTGTATATTATTTTAATATCTTCAAAATTTTATTTTTTTATTCTATATATGACATTTGATTTAAAAAATAATAATATCAAAAATGAATGATTTAAACAAAACTCATTTTATATATATTTGATTTATAATTCTATTTTATATGATTTTACATCATTTAATTATTGAATTGACAAAGCTTAACTTGAGTAAGAGTTCCTATGTTGTAAACTTATAATAGGCCATATTGGTTACAAGTTCTATACTTATATCCTATATCAGTAGGGTTTTATTTAGAGAAACAGTTTTTTCAAAATTATATATTTAGATTTTTCAACTCTTTACTTTTGTGCTGAGTCATAATTCCTGAAATATATATAATATTGCCCCAGGTATTTAAAGTATATCGCCCTATTCATACTTCTCAAGTGCAAAGATACTAGTCATAAATTAAAAATATTTAAACAATATTAAATTTTTCAATTCAAGGTTATGAGATTGTCCTGCATCATTTATTTTTAGTTAATTTCTTTTAGTGAGAGGAACTAATTTTGTTTACAGCAGATATGAATTCTAATTCTGGCTTAAATTGTGACAGGGCCTTAGACTTCACTACCCTGGAGAACAAAGGTGTGGGATAATAGATTGCTCCAGAAAAAATGTAATCAAGACCTAATGAAGAACATAGATGGGGAGAAGTTATTAAGACTTCTCTATCAAAAATAGATTCTAGGGATCATAAATTACTAGTGATTCAAACTTTATTTTCTGAGAAAGGAGTAGATCTGAACCTATCAGAATTTAGTCTTGGAGAAATGGAAGGAATACCTATGTATATTCAACACTCATTAAACATGAAGTAATTAACAGGATTGATCTAAGAAGTAAGATTTATAGCCTAGAAAACAGGATCTTTTTTGGGAATAATACGCAAG